GTGTGTCATGTATTCATCCTTCTAACATGCCTTGAAGGCAAATTTACAAGCTTGTAAAAGGATGCCATGGGTTGGTGATGTGCTGCTGAATCCTATCCCTGCACTGCAAGTGTATGTGGAGAAAGTACTGATGTGGAAACGGAAGATAATGCAAGAATACAGCTAGTAACTGTTGAAATTCAAGGCTTAATGACATCTTGTTGATTAATGTCATTTGTTTGAGCTACACCATGGGTTAATTAGACTATCTGTGGCCAAGTAGCATGACAAATAGACACTGGGAAGTTAGACTTGGCTACAGATGTGATGATAAAAGGCTGCTTTCTAACAATTAGCACAAACACTTCAGCAGAAAAGTCATCCTGAACACTGAAATACAATCTATTTAACATACAAATTGAATTGAGTAGCTATCTATTTAGCATACAATTAAATTCAGAAATTAGCGTAAGGAGAATAAAAAGGGATTTAAAGATACGCATAGAAGTTAATCCACAGTTGCATTTGCTAGGATAAAACTAAGAGGGCTATCCATCATTTTAACAATCTGGTGTCTGGAAGATACCTCTTCAGTACTGTTCTAACCATATCATAGCGTTTGATAGTTAAATAGACAGGCATCTGATGTGACTGCTGTTCTTGAAGCTTCCAGTCGTTGTCAGATGGAAGAAACTAAACCCGAACAGAGCAGCCATTCTCTTACCCTGATGTAGGAGCTGCCAGCAGATTTGCAGTTCATTTTTTGTTCCTGTTTTGAATGTACAGACACTTTTGTGCTTAAATTTAAGGTATTGGTTGGTAAGCTCGCTTCTGTGTGCTTCACATCTTTGGCCTGTTAGAAGCAAAATGGAAAATCGTCCCCTATTTACTTCCTGTGCCTAGCTTGGTTTCTGGAAGGTGAGCACAGGACTGGTGCTGTATCACTGCAAACCTTCCCAAGCCACTTCACTCTGAACGCTAACCCATCGTCACGTACAGTGACTCTGCTTGAGTGACTTCAGTGTGCTGCATGTGAAATAAATCAGCATTTGAGGCAATTCGGAGTGGGGGACTAGGCCTCCATTCACCTAAAGCACAGCTGTAGACAAGGTTCTCAACTCTTCTTTGTTCTCTGATTTATCAGCCTAAAATGGAAGTAGGGAGTGCCTGGGTTTGTTGGTTGCTTTGTTCATAATCAGCAGGTTTAAGGAATGGATTTATTGAATCAATAACAGTATGTAATGTATATTTAATATATTTAATTCATATCATCTGAAATGCTTTGCTGATGGGACTTCTCAAGCTTTCTTGAGAAAGTGGTCAGTATAATTTGGGGAGATGCACAGTGTGGGTGGAACATTGAATGCAGAAGACTTATGCATGGAGAAGAGTTATCTGTGCATGCTACAGTGAGAGTTGGATTCTTGCTCTGCTCAGCAACTGCCATCCCCTTTGATGTTGTACAAATTGCAGCATCAGGGCGTCTTATTATATCCTTGGAGTAGACCTTAGCCTAGAATGTGGTTAGCAGCTCTAATGAAACTGAGTTCCTCACAAAATGCAGGTGGTGTGCTCTGTGTTTCTGGTGTAGGCTTTGCCTTTGAAACTCTTCAGGATTGGTGTTCTTACATGATGATTTTTCAAGGAGAAATAATGCTGGAACAGCAACCAGCCTGGCTCATGGCATGGCTACAGAATGGCTCAGTCTTCTGTGGAGTTCAGGTGTAGAGAGAAGGAGAGCAAGGATTAGTTTGACATCATGATATTATCAGCTTAGCATGTAGTTCAACATCACAGCTAAGCTATATTAAAAGCCAGTGGCTCAGCTGGTAACATAACTCAGTGATCTTAAATTAAAGAAGGGCCTGGTGGATGACGTGAATCCCCACTTACCTCTCATCGCAACCAGCATCCAGTACTGTTGCTTCAGGTTTCCAGTTCACGTTTTTCTGTTACTGAACTAAAAATGCTACGTGCTTGGCCTAGAAACTTCTTCCAGTTGGTGGCTGGCCTTCTCTAAATGGTGACTGAAGAACCTGAACTCCTGCCATGTCTTCCCAGCCTCTAGATAGATGATGCTGCCCTGTGCTGCTCAGGAGGTGGTCCTCTATCCAGAAGGACAGCTTGTTTGTTAGATGCTCCACCTCATGTTCTACTTGTTTTTTTATGTATGTCTTGACTTCACTGTAAATAAGTACTATTTCCTAGGTGTGTGTTTGGGTTTTTTTCAAGAGCCCCAGTACAGGAGATTTAAGGATCTTCTCAAATGAGAAGCGTGTCACATAGTTAAATTTCTCAAATAGCTGAAGTACTGAAAAAGCTGCACTGTGCAATTGGTTCCTTTTTTGTTGCTTTTTACAGCAAGTAGAATAGAACTATGTATAGAACTAGTTCTAAGTAGAATAGAACTATGCGGTAGTGCAAGGAGAAATTTGCTTTTTGTATGTTTAACTGTGCCGTAAGCGTGGCAATCTGCAATGGAACGAAGCTTTTGTAGCTATAAGAATATATGATCAGACTTCAGAAAACAAACTGTTTCTTGGCTGAGATTTGCTTAGACAACTCTGTAAGAGTTGACGACAACAACATATTTGGTGTCAGATAAAATTGTCGTTCCTTTCCTTCATATGGCATATATATCTATCAGACAGTGATGGTGCCTGAGGGGCAGAGCAGTGAGTGACTTCTCCAGCCAGAATCCTCTGGAGGCTGTTGTACAATGTCACTTCGAAAAAAGCCCTAAGAAACACTTTCTTTTCATTGTAACGTAATAACCAAATTTCTACAGGGACTTAAACAAAGGAAGAAATTAAAATGAATTAAGATCTCGAAATAAGAAAAGTGCCAAGCGATTTAGTTGGAGGCCTAATGCAATTATGCCCTGTGCAAATTAAGTCTATTTTTCAAACGCCGCAGAAGATGGAAAGGCTCACTCTGCTGAGCAGGGGGGTATATGAAACACAAATGGCTGTGAATTGCAGCTTCCACTATAAGCAAGCCTTTATATGGCATCGTCTGAAATGTCTTCATTAGATGCCTAATCCTGTATTAGTAGTGTAGTTTTTGCTCTGTTACGCATTTGGGGGTGGAAAAAAACTGGCACTTGCAAACTGACAGCTACTTTTTGATGTGGTTTTATTGTGACAGGTAGCTAAATAGTTTAAGCTGACACCTTTTTAAAACACCTTTTTTGGTACTTGTCACTTGTTTCTCTATGACTGAATGGAAAGCCGCGTAAGAGGTATGCTTTTACAAAGACTGGGAATAATACATGAGGAGTCAATTAGGAATTATTTCTTAAGTATTCATTTGTAAAGCCTGAAAACTAAACTTCGCAGTTCCTTTTGAGAACTTTCAAACTAGCTGGAATTTATGCAGAAAGAGTGCGTTTCAGCTTGTTGTGAACTGATGTTTGGTTTGCTCCTAGTCTCTTCCACCATCTGGATTAAAAAATCCTGTAAATGTAATCCAACTGAGATCATAATCTCATTTACAGCTCTGACCTTGCATGGCAGAAAATGCATCAGTCTTCAGGTGAACACTTGTACTGCAAGCAAATTTGGGTAAAGAAGGCTATGAAGGCACCAACTGTTGTCTTGAACTACCATTAAGACCTTATTTTTTCAAGAGTTGTAGACTGAGGTAGAGGAGGAAATTCTGGAAAAAAATAGCTTTACAGGAGCAGGGAGAAGAGCCCTGCTCCGTGCAGGACAGGAGGTTGCATGGAAGCATGGTGTAGTGCTACTGTAGCCCTGAGGCAGCTGGAAGAGGATCTGATTGTGGCAGCAGGGGGCAAAGATGCTTTCCCTGCCCTGCAGCCAAGTGGGCATGCAGGGAGCAGGTGGGGTTGGGCTTCATGGGAAAGCTGTTCTCTGCTGTCTTGAAAGTAAAAGGGGAAGCAGGGGTGTTAGAGCTCCTGTAACTTTTTCTGGCGGAGGCTTCACAGAAAACTCATACCTGGACCAGTTGCAGCTTCTTGGCTGGAATGGTGACTGGTGTCAATGGTTAGAAATCCCTGGTCAACACCTGTCTGGGGTAGCTCAGCTTCTGCCCATCATTTGCTTTTGGCTACCTTGATGCAGAGCAAAGAGTAACTAGGCAGTCTTTGCTCTGTCACTGACTTGACTCAGCTAGGGATATTTCTTTGTCTCTGAAGCTCTTATTTTGGAGTGGTTTGATACTTGTCAGCTTTGTTTTTTAATCACTATTGATTTTTGAGTTGGAGGGTTTTTCCTAGTAAGCACAAATTTTATACTGCAGGTGCAGTTTCTTTGCCAGGCTGCAGGTTATGTTCCAGGCACTGACAAATTGAATCATTGCTTTCCTTTTCGACAAATTTTCTATTCTCCGTATCTGTGGTCACTGCAAGGCACTGCCAGGTTGAACAGAAGTTCATGAGCTTGATCAACCTGTGTGGTGTCTAACAACACAGTAACTAGTTTTACCTTGCGCTCTGTTGCTTGACCTTTAAGTTAAACCAGTCTTTGGGCACTCAAACTACTGTTCATTTACTGTCTTGGGGCTAAACGGAGGCATGGTGAAGCACATTTGTATGTATCTCTCTGTACTTTGTATTAGGTCATGATTGGATTTACCAGGCAGAACGAAAATTAAGTCTGAGAGTCTACTGCTGCTTTCTTTCAGTGAAGTTGGAGTCCCATCTTAGACCGAAGCTTCCCAGAGCCTGGTAGATCCCTGGAGGCAGGTTGAGAGCTTAAAAATGGAGAAGGGAGTTTGGAAGCAAGTGTGCCTTTATCACTAATACTTATGGTTACGATGTTCAGAGTACTTCTGTGTTTGCTGTTCACACAAGAACACCGTTCAGACTCTGAGAACCTTAAGCATTCTTTTTGTTCAGTTAGGGAAAACTGAAGTGCAAAAGGATACTCTGAAAGACCCAGAGTTGAGCACAGTTCTTCTGTGGCCTTGTCATGCAGTTATGACCTTTATGTTACAAGGGGTATGTGTTGGAGAGTCAAAGTTTTTTTCTAAAAGTCATTATTCTATGGATTTTTTTCCAGGGTCACATGATTCGTTCAGCTACTGGGTTGATGAGAAATCTCCTGTGGGACCAGACCAAGCCACAGCCATTAAACGCTTGGCCAAAATTTCTTTGGTTAAAAAGATTATGAAGAAATGGTCGGTGACGCAAAATCTGACTTTCAAAGAGCAATTAGAAGGTGGGATCCGCTACTTCGATCTTCGTGTATCTTCCAAACCTGGGGAAATAGGCCATGAGATCTACTTCATACATGGTTTGTTTGGCATCAAAGTGTGGGATGGACTGATGGAGATTAACACCTTTCTTGACCAGCACCCCAAGGAAGTCGTCTTCTTGGATTTCAACCACTTCTATGCCATGGATGATGGCCATCACTTCTTCTTGATCAACAGGATCCGCTCAGCATTTGGATCCAAACTTTGTTCCGTTGAGTGTGTAGAATATGTGACGTTACAGTACATGTGGGAGAAGAAGCATCAGGTGGGCAAAGATCTGTTATGTTTTTGAAACCCAAAAGGTTAAGATAGAAATAGGCTGAGTGGGGTTCCCTCTCAGTGGTATTGGCCTGAGGACACTGCTGGTGGCTGATTTAAAGCCTTCTAGAGACTCCTTGATGTAGAATCTACATCCGTGGTATAGTTAGATTGTATCCTGCTTCTAAGCATCTTCCTTAAATAATTCAGTGGTATTACCTCTTGAGGTCTTGTGCTCTGTACCAATGGTTTCCTTCTCAGAAGGAACTTGTGCTGACTTTAGTTAAGGATATGATAAACTGTTGTCTTTGTGAATTTAAAGCATGTAAGCTCTATCATGACTAGAAGAGGCTGTAGAACTTCCTAGCTCCTTTATGGCCATCCAAATCTATAGTGTCAGGACTCTTATCACAGATTGTTCTCTCTGGTAACTACCCACATATGTACATGAAGACTAAGAAAACAGGATTTCAGTGACTGCGCAATTCTTAAACTATAAAATAGGTGGCAATTTGAGGAATTCCATGGAATTGATGCTGTTCAGTGATTTGTCTCAAGTCTGCTAGTGTCCAAAAAAGAATCATTTGTAAGGTTGGTTGGTAAGTGTTGCACCTTTGTGCAGACCTCCTATAGAGAACCACCTTTAAAGGTATAAAATACTGACCTCTGATTTAGAGGAGGCTTTGCTTAAAGAAAGGCTGACTTCAACAATGTTCAGTAAGTGAGAGTGAAATGCTGGATGGCCTGGTGTGCTTCAGCTGTTTAGGAGTGATGTAGGAGATAGCAAGATAGCTAAAATCCTTAACTTTGATGGTTATGGTCTCTGACAGCGCTTTGAAAAGCTTTCAAGTGAAATGCATTGAATGACATGGCATTATGCTCCTGGCCACTCTTTCATTTTAAACTGATGACCTGTAAAGCCCAAAGCAATCTTGTCCTCAAAGATAATCCAAATAATCTCCATCCCTTGTTGGTAAATTTCTTGGCAGTCATGACTCAGGAGGAATTATTTCTTTTGCTTAATCCTTGTTTCACTGCTATGCTATCTCTAGCAGTAATGCGTAAGCATTAACCAGTGCTCCATGCTGTTTATAAATAAAATAGTTAAGAACTGTCTTTAGTTTGTAACTGTCTCTTCTGCTTTTTCTTGTTAGGTTCTTATTTTCTACCATTACCCTTTGTGTCGGGAATTTCCCTTTCTATGGCCAGGGAATAAAATGCCAGCACCGTGGGCTAATACAACCAACGTGCACAAACTCATACAGTTCCTGGAGACCACTCTCGAAGAACGAAGTCGTTATGGGACTTTTCATGTTTCTCAAGCAATTCTTACTCCTCGAGTGAAAACTATTGCACGACATCTAATCCGTGGTCTGAAGAACACACTTGTTCATAGGTAAGGACTTGTCTTGATTTCTGGGTTCTTGACTTAAAACACTTTAACATAAAGTGGCAGTGAGGAAACAAGGAACTGTAATGTTTACATAAAAGTAAAATTTGCTGACCTAGAGAGCATGCAGTTGTGCTTCATCACCATTGCTGGGGTGAGGTATTTGCAATTATTAAAAATCATGACATATTAAAAAGATGTGTGTATATTGTAAGCATAAATTTGCTTTTTGAGTGTTATTCCATGAAATTCCATGAAATGCACCTGGTGTTTCCAACTTAAAACTTGAATTTGGGGGTGAGGGGAAGGAAATAAAGGTCTTTCCTCCAGGAGAAAATGCAGGTCTTGACATGGGGCAGTATGAGATGAGGCAGTAATTAATCTCAGGGGTTTTACCAAAAAAAAATTGTGAAGTTTGACTTTGCTTTTACCATTGACCATTGTACAACTTCCTTATTAGTAAGGTAACTAGAAAAGGGTTTGGCTGTATGTAGTGCAGAGTGGCAGTGACTTTTGATAGTGTTAACAGCATAAATGGGACAGGGTCTATGTGGTTTTGCTTTACTCTGTTACTTTGTAGCCTGTTGGCCAAAAGTTGCTGCAACTCAGCAAAACTCAAACAGTCCTGGTGGGATCCAGTCTCCTGTCTCGGTGTTTGATAGTGCCTGTTTTGATGTCACTAGCAAATTAGTTTGCAACAATGATATTAAGTTCTAAATTACACTTGTGTAGGTGGGCACAACCGCCTTAATGGGCTCTGTTGTGACTGTCATTGTAATTATCTTGGCAACTGAGCTTCATAGTAAGCACTGAGATAAACACCCACCCACGTCTGTAGCAGCCAGTTCATGTTCCCTTTTTGGGTGAATTATTATTAATTTTAGCAGTAATTACAGTATGATTATTTTGAGACAAAAGTCAGTGTCACTGCTTTTCTTAAAAAATCTTTCTAAAAAGAGCAAGTGTTGTGGTTTTGCAATCACACAAGCTGCTGACAAAACTAAGGAAATTCCAGGCAAAGAGTAAGCCATGGAGGTTTGTCTCCTTCCTGTCTAGAGACATGAGTCTAGAAAGAGATGATTAAATATGCAAGGTATTTGCCACAATATATTCAGGTATCCTCTTCAGCTTGTCCTTGGCTCGTACCAGTGTGTTCAGCATTAAACACTAGGTGGTGCTCAGGTACTTTCAGACTGCTGCTTGCTGCCACAAGTTGCACAAATGTAAATACATGTGGTTCGTGGGAATACTTAGCAGAGACCATAGATATCTTATTACTTTGGAGCTGTGTGCTTAATATACTGCTGTCTCATGACTACAAGTCAGCAAGATCACACTGGATTTCTATTTTTAAATTTTTGAATTTAATTTAATGGAATGAGTGAGCAGTATTGTTTCAAGTGATTTTATTTTGGCACCAACATAGACTTTTAGCCACTGAGAAGCCGGAGGCCTTGATTAGCTCGATCCCTTCCTTCCCACCCTATCCCCTTGTTACCACTTGTGAACTGAAAACTTAAAATGGAGGCCATGGTCTGCTAAAGCATGATTTCTCCTGTGCATTTATCCATGGAGGCTAATCTGTGTGCACAAATCTGCCTTGGCAATTATGTAGATGTCAGTTTTCTCATACAGAAACTTTGCCCAAGTATGAATATTGAAGTGTTCCTGAGCTCTTTCTAAAGGGGAAATGAGCAACATTTGCATTTGGCTGACAAAAGTCTGTATTGACGCTTAGTACAAGTAGCAGGTCTTCCTTTACTTTTCCTTCTTTTTTTAGTTCTTGAAGTTTGTTTTTTCTGGAGCAAGAGCAGTGAGGTGTTTGTTTTATCCGTATGCTGTTAATTAATCCTTGTGCCTGCTGTTTTTCTGTTTAATGTATGCATATTACAACGCTAATTTAAATAATTCTGATATACTTAGTCATTTGTCTTTGTGTTGAAAACCCTGGGGTTTGAATATTAGAGCACAAAAGAACTTGTGCAGACTCCTGACTTGCACTCTGTCCAAGAAATAACTGAAATTTCTCTCCACTGCAGAGCTGAAACAATTCCTGGCACACTTTGCCCTTCCACAGTTGCAATAATGTGTGGTGGGATGCTCAGCTGGAGCTGAGCTCCAGAGGGCTGGACTGAGCTTTGCTTTCCCTCATCCTGTTGTTCTGGGTGGGTGTGCAGGCTGAAAGGTGTTTAGTGGACATGCCTTGTGTGCTGCCCCCCAACAGCTTCTTTCCTGCTTGCCCTAAGGCAAAGGTGGGCATGGGGACAGACACCTTGGGCCAGGGAGAGCCTTGTACTGTGCCATGATGAAGTCTGAGATCAGCTTCTGGTGCAAATTGCAAGAACAGACTAGGACTTAAACTGTTGTAGTGTAGCATTAACTCCTGAAGCAGAGTTTGCTAGGTGAAAATGAAGTTGACAAACTTCATTTTGTCCACCTGGTAGTTTGGATTGATGACTGACCAATATTCCTATTACACAGCTAATGACAGTGCACTATGTTAAACACTTCACTCATCATCCTGATGATGTTTTTGGTGGCAGTGAAGACCCAATCACAAATGTGAGATAACATAACTTGCAAACAACATGCTATATACAGCATAAGTGTTTATAAAGGAGTGTCTCTTAAAATGTTTAATCTTCTCTTTTATTTTCTTTAGGAACCTGCCCATGATTTTGAATTGGGTGAAAGCACAGAAACCAGGTGTTATGGGCGTGAACATAATTACATCAGACTTTGTGGAGCTGGTTGACTTCGCTGCTACAGTTATTGCATTAAATGACCTTCTTCTAGAAGAGGATGAATCTACATCTAAATCCTGATGTGTCCCACTTATACTCCTCTGTGAACATCGTTGAGCTATGCTAAACGTTTTACGTGAAACCTACTGTAATCTCTATTTCAAACGAAGTTTTGTAGAGGAGTTACGGTTAAAAATCATACACAGAAGGTTTTCTTCTCTGGGGCGGTGTGTGGATCTGAGTGGAACACAGAGTACTGTCTGAGTGCTGCTTCATGGCTTTTTGTGGCTACGTGTTTGACTAAGTTATGCACACATCTGCTGCAGTACAGAGTGTTGTCTGCCTGCCAACAAGAGGCTGGCCTCTGAAGCAGATGTACCCGATTATTGTATGTTTCCCTGGTGACTAGACTCACCGTGTCTTCCTGTATGCATCCTGCTTATTTCTTAACTCAAGGACTCAAACCAAGGATCCTTGCTGATCCTTCTGTAGCAGTTTTACCAGGGCAGCCAAGACCTTTTCGTTCTTTGGCCACCTCAGGCATAGCTGGTCTTGGCTGGATGCTGCTGTTGTATTCATTACGCTGTTTTAGACACTACCTCTGACTGACTTGGAGGAAAAAAGATGTGATGTTGCTGTTCAGGGGGAAATTGTTTTACACTGTGAATATCCTAACTGTCCTTTGGGCCTGAGATGCAAAGGCTTGGCATATACTTCCTCTTTAGGCTCCAAACTCTCCTTCTGGACCTCTTTATTTTACTTTTAAACATGGTTGCATTGATGTATTAATGTGTATTTCTTCTGGTATTAATTTGGAAATCTGGACAATATTCAGTCCTCAGATGATGAGGATCATAACTCAGTCTGAATTCATGTTGAGGCATATCTGACTTTTCTTTCATTTGCTGGTCACTTGTTATTTCATCCTTTGAGATCTGTGGGGATGTCTCTCACCCAGATGCTCCTTATGTGGACAGATGTGGCAAAGTGGGTGTTTTTTGAAAACCAGATTTGATGGGGGACTGCTTAAAACCTAAATAATGAATCTGATATTGGCCACGTACAGTGAATTCTTAAATCGGACCCAAATGTTATGCTTACAGTCAGAACCCACGCGGCTACAGGGGAAGAATTTCCCCAGCCTTTGACCACTTGAGAGAAATTGTAAGCAGTGCTCACGTGGGCGGGCAGGCATCAGCTAACTCTTTGTAGTCATACTCAGATTTGTGTTGATTCACAACAAAACGACCACATGCTTGAGCTGATGCAGTCATATGTTGGTACTTCTGAGCACTTAATTGACCAGCTGACGGCAGCCCTACAGTCTGCTTATATTGGATTTAAAAGAAAAAAGTGACCGGCTAACAGATACTTCTTGATCGTCTTCATAAAGCAACTGTTGGTGTGATAATTGTTCAGTAGTTATTAAGTTGTATTAATCTTTGAGCTATTTATAAGAGAATGGATTATCATTACAGATGGTTTATTCAAAAGAAAAACAACTCCCTGGATTTAACCTGTTATACTATCCTGTGTGTGCCATCATGGTATGACAGCACAAAAATACAAAGCCATCTTGCTTGTTTGTCACAACTCTGAACTCAGGACAAATTTACGTAAGGGTTTGCAAACCTTCCACGTGAACCTTGGCCAAGTTCTGAGCAGACTGAGCTGATTTTTCTGTTTGGTGCAGGGTTCACATTAGTTCTTCACATTTCCTTTAAACAGCATCCTTTTTTTCCTGGGGAGGGTGGAGGGTATGTCTTCCAGTCTTTCTCCTTTCCTCTTGTGTTTCAGCAAGGGGGGACAAGTCATGCAGAGCAATTTTTGGGAACTGAAGTTCTACTTTTGAATATATAATTTTGAAAACACCAACAGAGGATTTGGATTGTACCTTGTTGATTGAACTGTTGGAGCTGATTTTGAACAGTGCAGTTTGGTTTGCGAAGTTAACATACCTGTGTTTTCTTCCATAGCTGAATCTTGTTCATGTACTTCTTGCATGGCCAAAACTGAAACTCCATAATAGTATTAAATGTACAGGTAGGGTTTCAGTGGTCTCTTAGCTACAAATTGTCTTAGAGCTCAAACCTCAGAGCAACTTGCATAGAATGCCTCTGAGGCAGAAATAATATATTTGCAAAGTTTCCTGCAGGACAAGATGAGAAGATGAAATATGCATGATATTTGCATTTGACCCTGAATATATTTTGTACTGTATATATCTACCTCAAAAGAGATCTATTCAGGCTTAACAAATATTTATATTGTGTGTGCAGAGTAATGACTGTGTTGTTAGTCCTTCTGTTCTATTTATTTGAGTAGAGATGTGATGATTGTAACTCAGGGCTTTGGTTAGGTATTTCTGAGTATGAACTCAAGTTTCTTGAATTCAAATTTCCTTTAGATATTTGCTGCTCGCTCTTGCCTCATGAAATAGGACAAAGGGGTGCTAGGTGCTGAGAGTATTACCAGAGGGACAAGAAATGGAACTTAAGTTTAGGATTAATAGAGTAGGAGGAAGAACAGGTCTGTGAGTTTCTTCTGTCCGAAGAGATTGCTGTTAATGTGATGTTAATGCAGATGTGCCTGTAAGTTCGATGAAGATGAAGACAGGCATTAATGCAGGAGAAGGCTAAGGGTTCCACGTGGCTGATGCAGACCTTTGTCTGTTGCATATCATCTTAGTCTTGCTTGTATCTTCCTAAAGCAGTAGAAGTCACTTGTAAATAGTTTAGGTGTAAAACCCTCCCAGGAGAATTGTTCTGAGGACTCGAGGACTTGGTCTTTCTGTAGACAGTGGGAGAGGAAAAGCGGGTAAACTAGTAGCTACTTGAAGCAGAATACTTGAAATGTGTGTTCTTGAATAATTGTTCGTATGGTTTCTTATTACAGATTCAGTTCACTTAAATGCTGTTTGACTGTCACTTCTCTTCCTAATGTGCAGTTGCTGAATGCTGAGCTCTCTGGTGCTGTTGCTGTTCTCCTGGCATGCCTGAAGCACAGCAGACTTGTGTATATATCCTGATGGGGAGCAGCAGGGAGGAGAGCGTTAGGAAGCATATGTGACTTGATGTCTTACAGCATGCTTGTAGGTGAAAACTAAGAGGAGTTGTAAATAGGGTTTGCAGACTGTCAATCTTGTAGCTCCTTTTTTTGGGAAACTACAGTTCTATTATATTTAACAGTTGTGGAGCTGGGAATTGTATCTTTTCTTTTTTGGTGAACAAAACACAAATTCCTGCTGTCCCAAGCTTCACCAGAGTTGAAGGGCTACCAGCTTGTAGGTGCTTTGCTGCAATGGTGAAAATCCCACTGGAAACAGTGCTGGCAAGGCACCTTTTGAGGTGCTGTGGTCAGTGACTGATGTCAGACTGGAAGTGTTAGGAACAGAAACACTAATTATGAAAGGGCTAAGAAAATGGTATCTTTACTTCTGACATTTGTTTTCTGCTGTGCTAGTACTGAAGTCATTTCATGGAGTTGAGAAGGCACCTTTGCTGTAAGGATGATGAAGCTTTTAGAGCAGGGATTTTGGTTCGGAGTAGGGCATTGTCCAAGATACTTACCTATTGTTCTGATCTGTTAAGTCTTCAGAAATATTTTTTGTGCACCTGTCTTAGGTGTCACAGTTCATTCTTGTATAATTAACAGGCCTGCATTTAGAGCTTTACAGGACATGACTGTTTTGGTTTAAAATAGATTACGCATGCAAGTCAGTTGACAGAGCATGTGTGACTTGAGGATTACTTGAATATTTAATATTTATTACAGAGTTAATATGCACTTTCAGTGAGACTTTCAGCATATCCTGAATAAGTTCTTCTATCAAAACTACTTCTTAGAACAAAACTTCAAGCTAATTTTTCAGTGGTTGCTTTGAACACAGATGGATTGTCTGATGTGGAGACCAGAACTAACCCAAAACTTAATTAAAAATTCAAACCATGTCAAGGTGTAGTCCTTTTAGCAGTGAAAAAAGATTTTTGCTTCTCTGGGTGTTGAAAAGAAATAAAGGTCTACCACTTCTTCAGGTTATATCCAGTAGCCAGACCATACACTGAAGAAATAGTGGAGATCCGCAGAGTGCTGCTGCTTGCAAGAGTCCCAGTTCAGTTTGCTTTGTGGTAGAAGTCCACAGTATTTGAATGGGCCTCCATTTACTAGCTAATTTACAAATAGCTGCTTTTAAAAAGAAGGTTGTGATTAGACCCAGAGACATGTGCACTCGGGCATTTCGTCAAAGCACACAAATCTTGCTCAACTGAAATGTTTGCAAACTCAGTTTGGCTTTGCTTGAATAAAGACTTCAAAAGCTGCACTGCAGTAGTGAAATTCTGCTCCTGCCATCACTGGGAGGCTGAAGTGCAGTGCAGGGCTTGCACCTTTCCCAAGGCAAAGGAAGGGGTGGTGGTCAGAGACATTGCCTATGCCACCTGTGCAGCAAAGCATGCTGATGAGCTTTGTTCTGGCTCAGGTTCGTAGAACAGCCTGAGCATGTGCTGAAGAGTGAGTAAATTTTATGCTAACAGTGTGTATGTTGGGCTAATTGGGGGTAAGAGCGTAGTGATCTACTTGTCATGAGTAGATGTGTGATAATCCTATTAGTCCTTTAGTTTAGGTTGTTTTTAAATGTAAGGGATCAATTTAATGCAGTCAGTCCCACTGAATATGTCAGTCTCATCAAAGAATTGTGTGCATGTGTATGCATATTTATTTCTCTTCAAGGCTTTAATCCTATAAAGAAGATTTAAGTCTTTATTGTAGGGCCTGGAATAGGAATGTTAACCTAATTGCTGGATCTAATGATATTTTGTGTTTCTGAACACTTCTGTATGTTGTGTTGTTCATTGATACAGTGCTGCTCATATCCTTTGTAAACCTGTGACAATTTCCTGTCCTGTATATCTTAAATTGAACTGCAATGTATCCTTAAAAGTAAACTTTATATCAAAATATTTTCGATGGTTCTTTAATTTTGCTCAATGTCAAATGTGTTTTGCAAATAGATTTCTAGTTTCATTTATACCTTTGAAGGGGGAGTGGCGGGAGCCAGGTGAAGAAGAGTTACTAATTTATTTTTCTGTGCAGTGTCTCTTCTTTCTTTTGGCCATCCATGCTTTACCCATCTGTACAATTCAGTGTTGTGATACCAGGATGCCTCATTTGAACTGCAGATAAACTTGGATTTGACATCTGTTTCCTTCTGCTTTACTCTGCATCTGTATCATTGGGGTTTTTAATCCTGAAAATTAAAAAAAAAAAGTGAGAAAAATCATTCTGTTGTGTGTTCTGTACTGTTGACTGTTTTAATAAATGAAAATTACATGGCTAGTTAGCTCTTTTGACTGAGCCCACTTTATTTCTGCGGAATAGTGCCATTGAGGAAGAAAATCTAAGCTCTAGGGTTTTTGAGAGGTGCTGTACCTTCCTGCAGTAATGTCCCCAGGAAGTCAGAGCTAGGCAACACACTCATTGGGAACACACTGTGCTGGGAACTTCTCGAAGTAGTAGTCCAAAGTGATTGGGAAATGATATGCTTGTACATGCCTGAATGAACAGGGGTAAAAGCATGTTGTTGCATGGATCAAGTTCTATCTTGAAGGGCAGATGTTTTTATGTAGCATCTATTGCCCATAATGCAGGTGATGAAGATCCATGGTAACACTCCATCAGGAGTTGAAATATTGGTAACTATCCCCAAAGATGGGAGAAATATTAAATGCTGGTCAGCCAGGGAGGTCAGTAACACCTTAATTTTGGGTTACTTTCAGCTCATCCATTTCAAGAATGTGAAGAGGGTGGAATGGGTGAGCCCGATTTCCTTGTCTTTGGGCAGTTGGCTGGTAACTGGTAGGTGCTGTGTTTGTAGATCTTAAAATCCTAAAGGTAGAGATAGGAGCTCAGAGCCTAATAATCACTATTCATACTGCTGGGTCTGAGACTACACAAGTGGCTGCAAACCAGAGTGGATTAACAGTGACTCAAGTCCATAGCTAACACAGCATATTGTAGTAATCTGTCTGAAGCATCCTATAGGAAGGGGGTGTGCCACGTGTTTTTAATGAATATCTACATATGCAGTGCAAGTCCAATGTGAATAGTATTAAGTTGCCATTTTGTGTATTTTAAAAAATAAAGTACTGATGGTAACTAACTTGATATGTGACTCTCTAACTTCGGATTCTGTCTTTCCAGGTCAGGAATCACATACTTCCGAGGGGACTTTGGGTGCAAGAGTCAGTATGATTTCACAGCATTGCTTCCCTAGTAGGTTAAATAGCTCTTGGTGTCTGTGTTTCAGCCTGGTACCTTTCAGCAACGTTGTACCAAGGCACACGTGCATATACGCACACGTGCACACAGAAGATATGCTTTACAAAGCATATAATGAGACTGCAGAAACAAGACCTGTGCTCTGTGACAAATTTATGCATACCCTTTATGCAGAGTTCCACTCTTGGCATAAACCTGTGATTACCTCTAAATAGAATCATTCCTGAGTTGCACGTGGCTTAGCATTTGCATCTTAGGAGGTGCCAGTGAACTTGCAGGCAGATTTTTAGCCAGGGCGAGTGTGAACTCTTCCACACAGTCTGAAGGGAAGCCAGCTTGAAACCTAGTTCGTGCTGCCAGCTGCTCTAATTGCAGGTGTAGCTGGAAGGTAAGCAGAACACAGGTAGGCTCTAGAGCTGAGCAGTGGTTAAAATTGAGTATGTTTCCCATCAGTTAAGTGGCAAAACAGCCATTTGTGTTGGAGGTTAAATTTTGCATTTGACCAAAAATCTCATCTCCGGTTTCATTACAAAAATCGGTTGAGTTCTTAGGTGGGCAAATAGTGGAAGAAGAAACATTTTTCTTTGGTCTGCTGTTTAGTAAGCTGAGCTGCTGCTCTTGGGGGATCAACTGCATCTTGGGGATGTTCTGCTCCATGCAGTTGATGGCAGTGTCTCCTCCTGAAACTGAGATGGGAGTCTTCTGGGAAAGGCAGTTTTTCAGGGAAAGTCAGTGACTGGCCTGGATAGTAACAGGTAAGTTTCTGTGTGCTAAAACATTAAGAGAATTATGCTGGTAATCAACTTTGTATCAATTTAGAGACTTTATTTAAGTTACAAACGGTATTATAGGCTATTTAGGCAATGATATGTTTGAACTTTTTTGTACTTCTGTATGTGCAGAGTAGAAATATGCAGGTCTGCAGAGGGAGACCTGCAGAATGATGCCGGGTCTGCTTTAAAAAAGGTTCTGCCAGGTGCATAGGTGCACAGCTTCTGTCTACAGGTGTCACAAGAGCAGGCCCCCTTCCTTCCAGCAGCGAGGGAGAAAATCTTCCTGGGGCAGAACTGTTCACATGGCTGATTATGGCAATTCAAAAGTTTTCAGCAATATTACATATTGGCTGAAATTATGGATAGTTGAGAATTTGGTAGTACTTGACAGGTGAATGCTTTGTTTAATTTCTGTTTTGTGCTTCTTTAATTTTTGTTCATTTTGTGTGTTGGTAGTATCAAACAAAACAAAGCTGTTTATTGCAAGAGAAAACTGTTCAAGAAGGGCTTCCAGTTGAGAAGCAGAAGCAGCTGAGGAGCATTCCTTTGCTGCTGTAGGTGCCTGTGATAAGCAGTCCCCTCAGGGGAGAGGGGAAGCTCAGGGCAGTACTGTAGTTGCTGGTGCATTGAGGTAGCTAGGCGGTAGTTGCATTGAGTGGAAGCTGTATGGCATTGTCGTTGCAGAAGGTCACTCTGCAGCAGTAGCCAGCACATTAGCTGGTGGATGAACCTTTGGAAGAGTCCTGGTGAGTCAGGAGATGCTGAACAGAGACTGGGTCTTCGTGTGAAGGCTTGCAAGTTTGCTGCAATGGCTTAAAATCTTGAACAGTACATGCAAAGCACAGATGGTATCTTTTGCTTAGCTTTGAAAAGGTAATTTCTGTGTTTGCTCAGACGCTGAGGGTTGTCGAGATCTCTGGTATTTCATCTGTTATGATCACGAGGATGTTTTGATAATGTTTGTGGAAATGTGCTCGGGGCTGCTGAGCAGAGAGGCAGGCAAACAGCAGGACAAGCCATGCCCTCAGCCCCCTGCTGTGTACTGCAAACAGCACCTTGGTCTTTCTTATCTTTTTGTACCCCGAAGACCAATTCCTCTTGGGTCAAAAATTTGGTTATCTACAGTACAGAAGCAAGAGAGAACTGATTTTTTTTTTTTTTTTTTAACATGTTGCTTCTTGCAAATCTGCTTTAAGAAAATGGAAATAAAAGACTGCCTGAGGGGGTGTTCTTCCCTGCATCAAAGTCGTCATCTGGCAGCCTGGGTGGAGAAAAGCGTTGTTTGTTTGGTGAGGTCTGTAAATAAGAACTAAAGATGATAAAAATATTTTCCTTGAACTTTCTGCTACTGAGTGTTCACTTCTGTCTTTGCTCATAGCAACTCAGCCCAGGGTTGGGTTTGGGTATTGCTGGGTTGTCTTCCAGCTTGACATTAGAAAACCTAAAATCACAAGTGAAAAGGCATCCTTAGAGACTGGAACAGTGGAAAGGAAGGAGGAGACAAATGCTGAAAGGTATGTAGCAGAGATTGTGCTGCTGCTTTCCCTTTGAAACAGATAATTAAGCCTTTTTCAGTTTGGGGGTTTCTGGAGAACAAATTATTACATGAAATTCACCCTTTGATTCACATCCAGTACAAAGTTCATCTGATAAGTTAAATGCAGTTCCATGTTTATAAAAGTGCTGAATTGGATTTGATCATATCCTTTGAAAGACTACCCTGGCAGCAAATAAAATACAATTTGCCAGATATTTCTTCAGAGGAAAAATAGCAATCACTAGTATTTCAGCCTAAATATTGCTTGCCAGGGTTCTTTTCCTATAATTTTGCATTTCTTAAAGGAGTCATAAACACTGAAGCATTAGAGACAGACATCTCATCTGTAAGATGGTTCCTACTGCTGAAAAAAAAAAAAAAATGTTTTGGTCATTGCCAAAACAAAAGTGTGCGTTGCAAAGATAATCCTTTTCTGGTCCTCCATAAATCTTTCTTGAAAACCACTTTCGATAACAAGATTGTCTGAGGATGAATGCTGCAAGCTGTCTCACCATGTTGCTGCCTTTGTTGCACACGACAGATGTGTTCAGAGTGGTGAGCTGGTATTTCTCAAGACTTCTCACCCCCCTGCATGCTGGATATGTTCAGTGTGTAGCCATACACAGCACTGACAATGCTTGAAACCAGGCAGTTTTTTTGAGGCTGTTAGTTTTGAGACAAATGCAAAACTCAGTGTAGACTTGCTAAAAATGAGAGCTTCACAAAGGGAAAACAAGGCTGCTGCTACAGTGATTTACACTAGCAAAAGCTTAATGTATTTAGAAGCTTCTAATAGCTCTTAACAGGTAATAGTTTCTTTTCATTGTATTCTGTCTGGAAAGATTTGGTGGTGCCACTTGGATTTTATACACAAGAGGGGCTGCTTTCTCAGATGTTTGCTAGACTGCTATCTCTTGGAAAGAAATACTGAAAATTAGACCACTAGGAAAGTGCTTGCTTATAGCAATAAATGAGATAATTCAAGTCTTTCCTTCTTGTGCTTATTGCCAAGAACAAGGACTTCTGAGTAGTTCAATTTCCCTTCTGTAGTTAGTTCCTTCCTCTTGTCTTGGGGCTAGGCTCTTTCCTTTCCAGGGCTGAAGGATAATGCAGGCAGTGTTAATAACACACACCAAAGAAAGAGCTTCTCAAGATCATGATTATAGTAAAATTCTGTTTACCCAAAAATGAAATGAGCTTGGCCAGTGAATTTGGTCTGTGCTGTTACTACAATCCAGCTCTCTCAGTGCAGAAAAGTCTGTAGAAAGCCGTTGCAGCTATGATTTTCTCAGAGAATGAGAAATAAGCTTGAAACTGAGTCTCCAGAGGACATTGGAGCTTCCACTAAAACATATGCGTAGAAGGATAACAAGCAGTCAACTTGAAATCCTTATTTTCCTGCTATGTTGGATGTGAGTGCTTGGGTAGGGCACTTTGGGAAAACTAAGAATGAAAATCCTTCCTACTGTTTTTATACTCACTGAAATGTATGTATGTATTTACTGAACAGACTGGTGTCCCCAGCCCCCCAGAGGGCACAGGTAAGTAGATAAGGAGGCTCACCAGGATGGTGTACCAGGTCTCTACTTACCACATCTCTTCATATTGTTAGAGAGGTGCAGTTGCCCTGCCATGTTCCCAGGATCTTGTGGATCTTGCTTTTGGTCTCTGTTGGTCTCTGTGATATTCTTGGACCTAAGATACCCCTAGAAGTGTCAGCTGAGACTTTGTGGATTTCTCAAGCCTTGCCAAAATCATGAAAAGATATGAAAATTGCTAACTGAGATCACATTGTTACCTTTAGGAGAAAAACGTCATTTCCTTCTAATATGCTGAAAATTATCATTGTGATCATTATTCCTGCCCAGATCAAAGGTGCTGCACTACTTTCATTAATGCTTGACAGATGTTCCTGCTATGGTACCAAGGACTGCAAAGATGTAAATCTACACAGACTCTAGGGTAAGCAGACTGAAACTGAACTGATGTATGAATATGAATATGAAAATGACTTCTGCTTACTGCAGTGGGTGCATGCGCTACCTCGCTTTTCCTGCAGATGCAAGTGAGACACACCTCCCTGGGGAATGCTGACCCTAAGGTCAAAGCTAGGCTCAAGCATATGCTCCAAGATACCATCTTGAAGACTTCAGTGTGCCACACCTACACTTTTCTTGAAGAATCCTACATGTGGTAGGACAGGAGAGAGAGCAAATGGGTAGTGTCTCATGCTAGGAACCTCAAGTCCATACCCAGACTTCTTTTGTTCCTGTCTTGCTGGATTCTCATCAGTCAGGACATGTCTGCTCTGCCCAGTGATTCTCATTATTAATGCTGGTGCTATTGTTTTCCTAGCTCAGAGGTAGCTGGCGCATGTAGTTGTATTCCCCAAGAGAACTTAATTAGATTAGGTATGGTTTTCTGGCTCCAGGTTGAGACAGTGTTCAGACTGACTTTTTTTTTTTCAGAGCTGATGGGTCTAGGACTAGTGTAGAAAGCTGCCTTTTAGTTTCAAAAGCACTTAACCACCCTACTAAACTGTTAGCATTGGCAAAATGCCACCAAATAGAACACAGCCTGGGTCCAGCAGGGTGATAGAGGTGTTTGTTCTTGCTTTGATTTTCTGTCCTTTTGAATAACAACCAAGAATGACCACCTGAGATTCAAAGCTTTTGCCATCCAGATCAGGTGACAGCAGGAAACATTAGAACTGAATTTGAGGAAAATATGTATTTTTTTTTCCTGTGATCTTCTCTTTTGCTGGCACTGCATTCAGTGTAAGAAGGTGTTTGTGAAGTAAAGGAAAAGGAGAATGCAGAAAATGCCAAGAATTCTCGCATCGTGTTTTCTTTCTGTTAAGTGCCTAAGAGTGAGAAGCTCATAGCAGCATTTCCAGACGTATTCGGAATATAATTACTCCAAGATGCATTTCGTGCTTGTTTTGCTATTTGGCGAGGGAGTATCCTTCCCTGGAGACATTTTTGGAGTCATGTTATCATCCTGCCCGATGAGTGGACTTGCTGGTGTTTGTAAAACTCCATTTGTTGTCTTATCTGTTAGCTGTTCTGTTTCAACACACCTTTAGCTGACCTGTGCCTGGAGTGTTCTTAAACATTGCAGACATACTAAGTGTAATAGTCTTCCTTTGAAATGGGACTGCAGCACTTAAACTTAGCAGCGTGGCAAAAGGAGTAGTAGATACAGGTGGTGGTGGTGCTTTTCAGAGTACCTAAACCAGTCTGGAGAGACCTGGCAGTGACATGGTGTGGTACCATGTAAGCGTGATACTCCAGTGGGATAGGTAAGTTAGGATCTACCTGCTGATTGAGCTTTTTTTGGGGGGTGGCAGGGTGGTATTAGAGATCTAGGGGTATTTCAGGTTATAGAAGGAGCACTTGGAAAGGATCTGAAATCAAGTCACTGCATTGCATTTGCTTTCCTGGAGGAGAAGGTCACTAGAGACAGTTAATAAAGCTCTAGCTGCTGAGCTCACCAAACATTCTTCCAGTTCAATGGCCTATGCAGAATGATGTGTTTAGTCAATGTTTAATTCCTAAGCAACAAATGGTGATTGTCATACTGGAAGGCACTTGTGGTGTTGACTGAAGCAGTGGAGGCCAAGGATTAAAAAGGTCGTGTGGGGAGATCCCTTCTGCAGCCTCAAAGCTTTCTCCTCCTGGTCAGGTCCCTTCAGAGCAGGAGGAACACATGCTGTTTTCCAGTAGGAAAACAAGCCAATAGTTTCTAGTACTGAAAATTGATTGGGGCTGTTTATGGCAATAAACTAGGTAGTTAAAATCTTTCCTTCTCATGCTCTTGCTTCGGCCCCCAGGAGAGGCAGACTGTGGGCCTGCAGTGTGAGGGGAAAGGTGCAGCAGCAGCCGAGGAGGCCGAGGACCACCTGTACAGCCAGGGTTTGGCAAGGAGATGCGTGGAGAGCTGCCCACAGAGACACAGGGAAACCTGGGTCACAGCTGGGATGCCAGGTAGAAAATCCACAAAGCTTTTCTGTTACATGAGTCAGGAATGAGAAGAGCCCTCTTCTCGCAGCTGAGCGCCTCGAAACCTGCCTCACTGTTTTCCAAACGCTGCCTGCACTGAAGCTGGTACCTCCCTGTTGTTTTAGCAAGTAACTTGCTCTTAAAAAGCCATAACCCTTGTGTCCAGCACAGATTTTAAGGCAGGTGAGGTGCTTCCTACTGAGGATAATTCTAGGTTACTGCCACACCTGCTGGAGTTTTTCTTATATGTGGCAACTCCCTGCTGAAGGAGGGCAGGCATGGCCAGGTCTGCGGGCTCTGAGCAGTGGCTAACTAAGGCTGTTTATCCCAAAGCCTGGCCTGTGTTTGTCTGCAGCAGCTTGTTCCAAGGACTGATAGCTCAGGCTCTGTGTGGGGGTGATGTTTCCTCCTCCTATGAAACCAGCTCAAAGCATTGTCCAGGCCTATAGGACTGGCTTGGCTGTTCTTACATCTGTGTCAAAGGGGATCTGTGTGGAGATCCTCTTTGCATAGATGCTAGGAGGATCAGGCTGATTTGTCCTTTATTTTCCACACTTCATACATTGACATGTACAATAGCAAAGGTTATGCTGTGCCTTTCTAGTACTGCCTGGAAAAGTACACTGGGACTTTGAAATAAAAAGAGCAAGTGCCTTTAAAACCACTGCATTTCCCAGCTTGTTATTCAGTATTTGTGTCTGCTGCATCTTGAAAGCAGATAGACCTGTTTCCAGGTTTTTTGGTAGGCTGTTAGTGAGCCTGGGCATGTGCAACACAGACCAGAGCTCTGCTTCAATTTTAGGAGATTAAGGCAAGACTGAGGAGATCATCTTTGATCTACCAATATCTCAGCTGTTTCTCTCTGAAGAGAGGGCTAAGGGGCATGCTAATGGCAGGGCACAT